ACCCAGGCAGGAAATGCTTCCCTGAGAGTCTGGGGTCTGCAAAGTGGCCCATTAGTGCTTCCTGCCACCTTACCACAGATGACATCTCCTCATCACTATGTCCTAGACACCGTCATTCACGGGTGTGGCTGTCAGCTTCTTCAGTCTCTATAACAACCCCAGAAGTCTACTGTTTCCCTTTGAGATGGAGAAACTGAGGTGCAGGGAGGTTCTGTGACACTCCCACGGTCACAGTGTAATAAGTGAAGGTGCTGGGATCCAATCTCTCTGTCTAATAAGAGACTATGTTGTCCCACACCCTGTCACGGAGCAGCATGGGAGCTCCTCTGTTCTCTCCAATTGTTCTAACTAGAGAATAAGGATTCTCTGGCCTCACAGGGGCCACAAAGGAAGCCAGGTGATGGAAGAGTGGCCTAGAGTCCGCCTTCTACATCCAAGCAGCCTTCAGAAAACCTAAACCCTGCCATCCCTAACACTACCCCTTCCAGACACCTGTGAGGACAGAACTCGCTGTACTCCCAGACGCAGGTGCGCTAGCAGCTTGGCAGTGAGGACTATGGTCCTGGCCAGATGGAGACAGCCAGGCTTTCCAGGCCTGCTTCCCGCTCAAGGTCACTGAGCCAGTGAATGCAGAAGAAGAGGCTCTCAGTCACTGTCCCTCCAGGCCTCAGACCTGTACTTCCCTGAAGCCAGGTGAGCTGGGGAAAGGGACCAAGCCTCAGGCCCTGACTACTGGAAAGAACCCTCTGGGGCTTGACTCAGGATGTCCCCATGGAATACAAACCCAAAGGAGGCAGAAAAGCGTGAGTAATAGTGTCTGCCTTGTGCCGCCTCAAGGAAAGATGAATGGATTGCTGTGTGTTTCAAGGGACAGCTGCTGAGGTAAGGAAAGACACAGGGCTAACCCAGGAGGTGGATCCCACTTTCAGTAAGCCTAAGCCACCTTACTTTCTCAGAGCCTCCACAGCCCTACCTGGAAAGGGCACATCAAGTGAGGTGGTCGGAACTCTGTGTTCTTCTGGGTACAAAACTTGACCTTCTAGCACTTCTCAGCCTGCAGCAGAACAGGATCAGGCCGCGGATCTGGCTAGACCCAAGCTCAAACCCCCTCTCTACTACTTACTGACAGCATGATATGGTGGTATATTATTTATGACTTATTAAAGCTTGCCTTAGGGAGCAGAAAGCAAAGCCAGACAGACTAGTTAGTTATAGAAGCAAGGCTGTGGTGGTACACACCTTTAATCTCACCATTTGGGAGGTAGAGGTAGACAGATCTCTGTTAGTTTAAGGCCACACTGAGCTACACTAAATTCATCCTAAAAAAAAAACAGCTCACACGATGATGGTCTCAGCACTTGGGATCACACGCCTTTAATCAGCACTAGGGAGGTATAAAAAGCAAAGGGTCTCATGTGGAGATTGATTCTCCAGCCATGCTGAGGAGAGGCAGCAGTCTGAGGCTTGGTGAGAGCTCACAGAGACAGGATCACCTTTCCACCTGAGGTAGAAGTAAGGTAAGAGCTAGTGGCTTGGCTGTTTTGCTTTTCTGATTTTCAGCTTGAGGCCTGAACACTAATATCAGTCTCTGGGTCTTCTATTATTCGTGTTACAGTGTGATCTTGAGACTTCTCTTTCCAAATTCAGTTTAGCAATCCACAGCCAACACAGTCTTTGTTCCTCACAACAGACCCAGATAATGAACAAGATAATCCTGCTTTACAGGTGTGGAAAGTGTCCATTGGACAGCCAGTCTTAAGCCTTAAATAGATCATGCATGAATGGGAAAGACAAATGTACACAGATCACATAACCAATTAGGGTAGTAAGGGTGTTTTATTGATGATGCTAATTTTCACTTGTCGATATAAGCAACAAGCAGAGGACTGGAAGGAGTAGATTATAGAGGTCCATGAAGGGGCATTAAAACCTGAGAAGACAAGAAGTGTTTGCAAAGTGTCAAGTGACCTCCAAGACAGAGGGAGCAGTAAGGACAAGAATAGGTGATAGAAGATTTCCCCTCTGAGATTAATCTGTGTGAGGCTGGGTTGCAAAATGGATGAGATCAGAGAGCTTGGCAAGGACTAGACCATGGTGGGCTGTCTGTGGATACCATCCATGTGGCTGGAGCTCAGCTTGAGGAAGTAGTTAGCAGGTATTCACGAATTCTACCAAGGAGCAAATATGTATCTGAAAGCCCCTAGGACAATGCTGAGTTCATCAAGTCAGCACCATCCAAGATCACTGTTCAGGATCCTCACCTGTAAAATGGGACGGTGGCCCTCTGTACTGCTCACAGGCATGTTGGGTTTTGGCTTCCTAGACAGGAAGATCTAGACGGCAAAACTTACCGCCTTTTTGCAAACAAGGGCAAAAGCAGTTACACTCAGTCAGCTGGGGGAACAGAACTGCTGCCACGTTTAGCAACTGACAGATGGCTTCGAGTAAAGGGGGCAGACAGCCCTGGGAGAGCCTGGGAAAGGTTATTGCAAGGACAGTGCTGGGGGCGGGGCAGAAGTGAGAGTGTGAAGGAGTCAGCTGTAGAGACTAGGGTCCAGCCACTCAGCTGACAAGCTGCTGGCCTCTGCCAGTCACACACCCTCCCTGAGCTCAGCCTCATCAGCTGAAAACTAGAGGGAGGCAATCATGCCTAAACAGCATGCGGAGAATGGGACCCGGAGAATGAAACTCGTATTTATATGCACAGTGCTTGAGAGTCTGTAAGGTAGATTACTACTTCATCTTCCCGGGTTCCCATGGGGATGAAGGTGACATCTGTCAAGAGCCTGCTATGCGCCAGGCATAGGACTAAGTGTTGTGTTTACATTTATCTCCTGCCAGCTTCCTAATGCCTTCCTAGATAGTTCTGGTAGCTTCATTTTACATTTGAGGGATTTGACATGCTGCTGCAAGGAGCTAGTCTCCCAGACATTTGACCACGGACGGCATTGTCTGATTCCCAGTCTCCGTATACTTGTCCTGCATTACACTGCGTTGGAGCTGTGTAACCTTCAGAAGCTTTCTCCAACCCCTATGACCACATGGTCATCTTGAGTTCTCCAAATTTGAGTTTTCTCATGTCGATACATAGCTAATGTTAGTCTCTGTGACATAGAAAATTAGTATACTTAAAACAAACTACAATCACCAATAGCCTCCGAAACAATACAGAGAAACCCTGTCTCATAAAAACCAAAAAAACAACAACAACAACAACAACAACAACAACAAACTACAATCAAAATATATTAATTCCTTGAACTGTACTTTGTACATATACAACATCTTCCTATTTTACATGATAAGTACAAATGAAGCTGGGCATGGTGGCACATTATCACAGCTACTCCATAGGCTTAGCCTAAAGGGTATCAAGTTTGAGGCCTGACTGTGCTGCAAAGTGAGTTCAAGGTCAATTCAGGCAACTTAAAGAGGCCCTGTCTCAAACTAAAAGTTTCTTAAAGGGTTACAATTGTAGCTAAGTAGTAGAATGTTTGTATAGCATGTGCGAGGTCCTGGGTTGAATCTCTAGTACTTTGAGGAAAAGAATAAAATATTGACAAGAAGGTGAAACAGAAAGAACCCCCATGTAGCCGGGCATGTAGCCAGTGGCAGTGTAAAACTGAATGTTTCTAAGAAAGAACTGGGGAGGGGGTCTAATAAACCTGAGGGTGCACAGATCAGTAAGCACTACAGAGAGTGACTTGGTTGAAGATATTAGGGTCCATCTTTTCATTCCCATGAAATGCACCTTAATTCAGTGCAGTGGAAATGCATAGACTTTCTTTATAAGGAGAGTGTCTGACACTTCTGTGATGTCAAGAAAAAAAATGAGTATCTTTGAATAGCATGTAATTACTTGGCATGAAGTAGAATGTGCCCGATGAGACATGGCAGTCAGAAAACTTGCCCAAGTGGCTTTAAATCTCAAGAATAAGGAATAGAGAGCTAAGGAGGCTAGGGGTAGAGTTATTCAAATGTTTTGGTAGAACCCTGTCTGTGAAGGTGTTGAACCATGGCATTCTGAGGTGGAAAGGGCAGCTCTGGTGCTGGGGAAGTGGAATGGGGTGTTAATGTAAGCACGGCTTATGGTGAGCATGAGACAGCTTCACATCAGGCTATAGATTCCTGTGGTTTTGCATATATATATAGATATGTACATATCTATATATATGTGGATATGTAATTATACATTATATACTACGTGTTTATTAGTAATAAATATATAAATATAATATTATGTATATTTCATACATATATGCAATATATTACATAATTTTATGTGACAATACAATAGCTCAGTGAAGTTATTTTGTTTTTTTAATTAAAAAACATTCACAGACTTATTCAAAAGAGTTAGGCTGTGCTTTGAAAGTAGTCGTTAACTGTCTTATGTTATAGGGTTGCGAGTTCATCAGTATTTCTGAAAATGAATACCAGCTTTCAACATCGCTAGCCACTGACTTAAGTCCCCTCAGTAGACCTTTGTGTTTTTTATTCTTTAGACATTGCTTAATTATATAATATACTTAAAAATAAACAAAACTACAAATGTACCCTGGAAAAAAATAAAATAAAAAAGTTGCTAAGTAAATGATTGAATTAAGTGAGTAAATAGACAATGTTCCCAATTCACAACCCTACTATCCACAAAACATATCTAGCTTGGGTCAAATTTCCTGCTGTTGCCAACTGCTCAGGACAAATAAATCTGGACAATATTGGTGACCCCCCCTCCAGTCATCCTTATTATAGAACAATAAAAGAATTTCCCTAAGCACCTCTTGCTCACTTACCCATCTATCCATTCATCTGTTTTTTTCACACCAATACTCACTGATAAGCATTTATTGAATCAAAACTGGGTGGGTATCAACTGCAGCTTCTTTGAAGAACTTAGGTGAATTGCCATGTGAGATGAAGACTTTGTGTTTGCACTGTCCCAAAGGTCATCACAGTGCCTCAGCAGGCAGAGGACACCTGTGAGATCCTGCACTTACCTTGGCACACAAACGAAGATGGTGTTTCCCCTGGGTGGACTCGTCCTGTGATGAATATCACCTTCTTTTCTGTCCCTTCTCGGAGATTTTCTGTAAGAAACAAATGGAGGGTCACCATGGAAAGCAGGCTGAGACTAGAAATTAGTTTGTGGGAAGGAGACAGCTGAGGAAGAGGCTAGATGGATGCTTTACTTTTATCTTTTCTTTTAATCACTGTGTAGAACCGTTAAGGACCAGCCATTGTTGACTAATCAGGTCTCCATTTATTTAATATTAAAAGACTACATTTCTTTTTCTTTGTGTAATTTGGAATATTATATTAATATGAAATATTTACAACCATCTTAGGAAGCTGTTCGTGAAGTTGAATCCCAAAGCCATGGACTGTGCCTGTAGGCAGTTGTATATCTTTCTGAGTTTTAGTATTCTTAGCTATGAATTAGGAGAATAGCATCTGTTTAATTTGGTTGTGATAACAAAACAAGGCTACATACCACATAGTAATAAACAAACATCCAGTAAACGACAGAATAAAAAGGCAGCTATTTATAATAGTGAACATAGCATGTTATTTAATTAACCCTTTTTGCCAGATATATTATATATATATATGCATAATCTTTAGAAAACATGTAATTCATATTCCTGTTATAGATGCAGAAACTGAAGTTATGTAATTGCTTAAGGTCACACAGTTAATAGGTAATATCAGATGAGATTAGATTTCAGGCTTTTGTTTTGGTGGTGATACAGTAACAGGGGCCAGATTTCTTTTATATTGAAGACATAGAAAACTAGGTTTTCAGGGTGGCTTACTGATAGAATCCTGGTCTAGTGCATGTAAGGCCCTGGGTGTGACTCCTAGCACTTGGAAATATAAAAACAAAAAAAACCTGATTTGGAAAACTAAATAAAGTGTACCAAACAACTACTTTTAGATGTTGGATAAGAGATAAGGGGCAGCACAAGATTTCCACGAGGAAAGGAGACAAATGCCTCATGGTTGCCCTGTCTTTTTCTGATGATCCATTACATAATGAAGAGCAAGGTACAATATCTTAAGCATACTATGGAAGTCTCACTGAGATTCAAGATTAGCAGGTAGCCTTTGTGGAGAGGCTCTGTGAATTCCAGTAGAGAAAAAGAGTTCCAGAAATCTGTAAGGAGCCCTCTTGAGTCTTGGTTAGGTCCCAAATTCTATGCATAGGTAGAGTGAACCTTTAAGCTATAGTTTGGGTCTGAGTGTGCTGAAGACTTGTCCCCAGGCCTATGCCACCATTGGAAGACGGTAGACCCTTTAGCAGGCAAGACCTAGTGGAGAAATAGCGAGTCTTTGAGGACATACCTTTGAAGGCTAGGGCCCCAAACACAAACTCTCTCTACTTTGCCTCCTAGCTTTTATGAAGTAAGGAAAATTTTGAAATTTGGACTCCAAAGAATGAGTCATTTTTTATCATACAGCAAGAATGAGATGTATCTTAGTGGTGGGGATAAATTACTCCAGAAAGATCCTAACAAGGCTTTAAAATCATCAAAAAGAACCAAACTTGGAAAAGAAACTTAAGTTTTAATATATAAAGCCCAACTCTTTTGAAGGAAAGATAATAATATCCGGATACTCAACAATGTATGTATTTTGTAATATTCAGCAATAATAAAAATTATTAGACATATAGAAAAATAGGATGTGAATCAGATTCTGCTGTTACAGAAATCTAACCTGTATAATAAAACTCAGCCATTATGTGTAATATAGATTCATATAAAAATAGGCAAGAATAGCTTTCCTAACATGAATGGGGAAAGGATACTAAGGCATTGGCAGAGGGTTGATTGGCATACAACAGAACAACAACCTGAAGGAAAGTTAGGAAGAAACTGAAAAAAAATTGGATTAAATGAGCCCTATCTATATTATAAGAAGATGATCTGGAGGGAGAAGACACAGAAATAATCACAGGCTTTCTCTTAAAATGGTGGCGAAGGATGTTTTGAATGTGATTCATCATCAAAACAGATACACCAAAGCTGACACAGAGATAAAAACATTAATTCTTGAGGCAGAGAGATGGATCTGAGTTAAGAGCACTGGGTGTTCTACTAGAGGATCTGGGTTTGATTCCTAGCACCTACGATGGCACACAACTAGTTGTAATTCCAGTTCTAGAGAAGCTCATGTACTCTTCAAGACCCTACAGGCATTGCACACACATGTGCACAGACAAACAGGAAGGCAAAACATCAATATACATAAAAATAAAGTAAAATTAAAAGAAAAGTAATTCTTTTATCCTGAAACTTGGAGTGGTGGTGCAAACCTTCAATCCTAGCATTCAGGAGGCAGAGGCAAGGACCTCTGTGAGTTCAAATTCAGTCTGATCTATGCATTGAGTTCCAGGCATCCAGGACTACACAGAAAGACCCTGTCTAAAAAAATAAGCAAATAAAGGAATATAAACATTTTCCTAAAGGCTGTGGCTTGCTTGGTACATTGGGGTGAGAAGCAAGCACAGAGGGCTTCAGGTTCTCTGGAAGCCAGCAGGAAACATATTGGACAATGTACATGAGACTTTATTCTGTGCACAGCTCTACTCAGGGCACCTTTGAGAGGAGAGAATACATTGTTGTCTCAAAGAGGAGTTAAACACTTGTACATTTCCTGGACAGAATATAAGCTGCTGTAGGGAGAAAATGGTGTCTACTGGTAAATATCTAATGTCTTCCTCAGGAGTCTGTTTGGAATGGGTACCAAGGAACTGGTTGCTAAATTAATACATGAAAACACTTTATAATATTTTCTGATAAACAAGTTTAGGCACCTGCTATTTCATTTAAATCTTCATGGTGCTCTTGTGAGGCTGGGTGTGTCCATGCCACTTTACAGGTGAGAGGTCTGATGCCCACAGAAGGAATGGATACATTCAAGGTCGCTTTACCAGCAGTCCAGCCCTAGCTCCAAGTCAGAGTTCCTTTCTCTACCCTGTGTGCCTTCTGAATCCATTAACATTATACAATCCTACATCTGCTGTAATTCCATCTGCAATGTACACAAGAGACTGGTTTCATTCTTTATTGCTGACAGAAATTGAACTACTGTCTTAGTATTTATATTTCCTTTTCACTTAAAAATTTTTAACCCCCACCTCCAAACCCTTTTAAAAAATGGTACCTAACACTGACCCATGTTTCCCAGAAGTTCAGAAATGATGAATGACATTACCAAGGCCCTTGGTGAAGGCTAACTTTATGGATGCCTCCCCTGACCCAGTATCAACTCAATTGCATTCTACATTTCTGCTGACCACAGGGAAAGGCAAAACGGGCATTCTATTTGCACACTAATTTTACTGAGCCCCTGTGACTTCATAAAATGATAACGTGGGGCTAATAAAAATCAAGCCTCCCTGGCACTAATATAAGCAAATGTTGATGCAGGCAGGTAACAAATTGCTTTGTCATTTAGGAGGCCATAAAAGAGCATTATAATCATCTTTATGCAAAATGGATGGTTTGCCTTTGCTTAGCTTTTGCCTTTCATTTGCAAAATCAATTTAAGGTAATGTAGCAGCTTGGAGGTGGTGTGACATGGGGCTGTCTCCACCCCCTCCTGTCACCAAATCCCCAGACTCTTCAGTGCAAAGACAATTAAACATATTCTTGGTTGAGGCAGCAGGGATGAAGAAGGATGTGTGCTTGAACAAAGCTATGGTGGAACAGAGTGCAAACAATGAGACCAAGAACAACCCACAGGGGATGGTAAAACCAGAGAACCGAAGGAGGCCATCACGTTCAAGGGCACAACAACACTTGTTTTTTATAGCATTCTGACTCCGTGTGTGTGTGTGTGTGTGTGTGTGTGTGTGTGTGTGTGTGTGTGAGAGAGAGAGAGAGGGGGGGGGCATACCTTGTCATTGCAGTCCTATGTCACACTCAAACTCTTATTCATAAAAAAATTTATTGAACACCTATTCAGGTACTAGCTATTATTTATTTTCACTTTACAGAAAATCAAAACCAAAAAAGATTTAATGGTCTAGTCTTGTTCTTTTAACTGATGACTAAGTGGCAGAGACAGAAAACCAACTCAGGGGGAAAAAACTGTGTTCTTTATCTCTATGTTACCTTGTGAAGGATAATAGCACACTTCTGTTACAACGGTTAGGTAATATTTATTGGGTATCTATTTTACGTCGAATATTTTACATGCCTGACCATATTTAATTGTCACAGTCACCCAGTGGATCATTTACTATTGTATTGTTTCAGCCCTTTCTTATAGGTTAGGCAAATGAAATCTGGAAACATCAAGTATCTTGACTAAACTTGCAAGTGTGGAAGCCAGTATTACACCTAGATGTTTATGAATCTCTTATTTATGTTCTTAACCACTGTGTCAGATTGACTCTTGAAGATCAAATAGGGTCTTTGGGTTGATTTCATTATTATGACCATTGATTTGTTGCTGTTTCAGCTTGCAGTGTAGACCAAAGCAGGCTTGGAACTCCTTTGTAGTCCAATGATCTCAAACTCCCTGTTCTCCTGCCTCAGCCTCCCAAATTCTGGGTTGCAGATGTGTGCCACCACGTCCAGGTACCATGAATGCTTTGTTAATCTCCACTTTCAAGAGGTGGATATTAGCTTCAGTATGTACTAGGCTTAAACAGTTACTCCTAAAAATGGAATACCATAAAGGAATAATATAATACTTTTAGGTTGGGCTGTAGAAGGACTGTGGTCTAGGGTATGCTTGCTTACTTTTGAATCACTCGCTTCTGGGGACAACAGCAGTCCTGTCATGGAGACACTCAAGTAGACCATAGAGAAGTTCCACATGGTGAGAACAGCCAAGAACTACTTATGTCTAAGTGAGTTTTGAAGGATCTAGCCTTGACTAAAACTTCACTGTAATCTCAGAAGAGACACCTTCTATCCCCTCCTACACACACAACAAGAATGACTCACTAAATTTTCTACATTGATGACCCACAGAAACCAAGAAAGAATGAATGTTTGTTATTTTAATGTGTTTTAGCATAAGCCTTGCCTGTCTATCCTCTACCCTGACATCAATCTAGACCTTCTAAAATGCC